GTTATTTCAAAGTTACCTGCCATGAGATTGAATAGCTCAATATTTTGAAACGGTTTCAATACCAAATTTTTGATATTTGGTCCACGTGCGTAAAAAATTGTCCGCATAGAAGGTACCATGAAATCATATCCATGGTCACGCGTAATGTGGTAATCTGAGGCTTGATTTCTGCGAAAATGTTTGCTTTATTTCAATTCTATTAAAGGTTAATTTAAATTTTTGATTACTCAATGCAGCAGTTTCAAATTTGTTTTCGTATTACACTACTTCTCAAAAAACATTCGCACCTTAATAATTTTATGTAGAAGATTATCAATTGGCACATTTGTAACCACCATCAGTTACAAATGTCACTGCTTGCAAATTATTATCATAACTTATTAGTTGATCATCTGTTTATCAAGAAATTACTCACAATTGTTCTTTAACTAATGATTAATGATCTGATCAAAATCATAGTTAACCACTGGTCAGAATTCTCGTCAATCACCAACCAATCCTTATTTTTCTTTTAAATTAAAAATCTAATTTAGTACAAACCTTTTATTAAATGAATTCTGAAAAAACTAAAGAAACCTGAAAAAAATAGCACCCGGTTCGCCGTCAAGGATAATGTCACCCACTCTATTTGAAGCGCTGTAATGATAACGTTTTGGAAGACGGCGTTTATCATAAACGTGAAAGATATCCTTATTGAAACATTTCAATTCATTCATTGTTTCCTCTATATTTTCTGAAAATCATTGCTTCGATGACATATAATTGAAATATACTTGAGTTATAAATCACATAATATTTTATGGACTAAATGTGAGTGTGTTAGCACTGTTTTTCATAAGTATTATTTTGTATTTCATGGACTTTTGATTTTGGAAGTTTACAGCCACTTTTAGTCTGTAAATGGTTTTTTTAGTCTGTAAATGGTTTTATTTGTACTCAAATTATGATTAAATCAAAAGTTTTGTTCATCTTTTTTCAAAATAATAACAACCAATTTTTAATTTAACTGAATAAATTTTGTGATTGCTAAAGAATTTCAGAAAGCTTTGGCAAAAGTTTTAATACTTTTCCTTTAAAATAAGTTATTTGATCATTAGTTATCAGAAAAGTATATAGTGAAAGAATTGTGTCGAAAAATTAAGATGACATACTTTGAAGAATAGAAATATCTGTAATATTTGGAAAATATATCCGCCCAACTACGCCATTAGCAAACAGAGTATTTGAATTACTAATCATTGTATCCAAATACAGCCTATGACGAAGTTCTTGCATTCCTGAATATCCCAAATTCATCACCAAAGCAAAATTACTATCAGAAGAAATAGAATTATTCATAATATTTGGTTTTTCTACTCATAAAATTAATATCACAACATCAAGAGCCATTGCTTATTAAGTAATAATTACAAAAGTGTCAAATTTTTTTGATAAGTAAATTGCTTGTATCTTATGAGGGACGAATCTTCACTGTTTTGGAAAAAAGCCTTTAAAACGTGTACATCAAAAGTTGTCTCAATATGAACTTGCATATTTATGAAGTCTTTTGATTCAGATGCAAGTTGCACCATGAAGAAGGTTTATAATTTTAAGAAAATGTATATATGAACACTGATACAAAGTACGATAACAAAGTGTTAAGTTAACCTCCCTAAGAAAAATTAAACTTTTGAAGTTAGAAGCAAAGCAGCAAACCGTGATCGGATAAAATGATGATATTGACACAGTTCAATGCATTAATTTGATGAATTTCATCGAGTAAATCATCTATCATCAAATCCATAGCCTTCACCATTTTATAAACCTTTACGGTATAGCTATTAGCTAATTATTAAATTAATATCAATCAATAGTTAAAAATTAGCTTATATTGCATGAAAATGTTGCATCTGTAATATTTCACACACTGAACTCATAAGACATGAAGAACTAGCTAACAATAATGAAATTTTAAATTCACAGATAAAAAAATCAGACTTCTTTTTCCTCCTTATAATGACCAGTACGGTCAGGCTGATCAAAATATGCCATAATCAGTTGAGGTCGTTCATCCGAAGGCATATCAAGCCATGAAACTATCTAAATTCAGTAATTAATTTTTAAATTTGAATCATTAATTTCTATCACATTTCATATCTTCGAATTAATACTGAAATCGCATATCATCTAACAGTGACAAAATAGTAAATAAAATGCGCATTTATTTAAAACATATTGAGCGATCAGTTTTTTGTTTGACTGATTTCGTTAGAGTTTCAATTATTATAATAAATAACTTTAAGTCGAACAGAATTTATAACTTTTTAATTCAGAGACGTAAGCTAATTAATAAATTAAATGATCATTTGCAAAAAATTTAAACAGATTTTATGTGCAAATTGTTTGAAATTAAAAATTATGAACTTTAAACTTTTTTGCTGCAGACTAATTTATGATAACTTAATCTACTTAATAGGGAGCAGTAATGTTAAAATAAGCTTATCATATAACAAATGCTAAATAAATTGGACATTTCTTCCGGGCCATCCTTTATTTGCTTTAAATCATAATTTTTATCATTAATGTCAGTAATACAGTGATAAAATGACCTGTTTTATTCGATCAGAATTCGACATTGAACTATTATATTTCAGATTGTATTTTGGCTTCAAGCCTGTCAAAAAGTTTACTTTGTAAATTTTTAAATAAATTTTCGGAAAAAAAATAAATTAAAAAATAGTATTTCAGAATAATAAATTTTATTAAAATTGACCATTAATGAGAAAGTCACAACCGGCCCAATATAAACAAGCAGTAGAGATGTTCCGTTGTTCCAATAAATTCCAAATCTATGAAATGCCACTTAATTAAAATTTATAATTAAATTATAGATTTAATTAAAGATTATTAGAAAAAATTGTCTTGTCAAATTATGTATTTTAATTTTTCCCATAATTATACTTTTTCAAACTTGTTACACGTCTTTAAATGAAAGATAATATTAACTACATAAAATAATTCATAAAATATTATTTTGAAAAATTTAATATCTCAATACTTTACTGGAGTGCCTTTGAAATAACGAGCATCTTTGACACGTCGTATATCAATTAGTTCACTTGAAAACTGATTATCATAAATATTATTATCAACAATGCCGCTGCTTTCTGGATATAAACCGGTAACAATGGCATAGTGATTAGGGAAAGTCTTACTTGGATAACTTGCATACATATACTGTAAATGGCGAGATACTAGCGTTTATGAATTGACATTTTACTTTTATATCTTTACAAAGTAGTGACCTATTGGTCACAAATCAGAGATTAAGCTGATAAGAACAGATACTACACTAACTTTGTAACTGAGCAAATTCTGATAGCTATCAAAGCAGACTTTCATATTTATAATCTGAAATTTAGCTAAAAAAATTGCTTTTTTTGATTTCTGATATGTTTTGAGATAAATTATAACCATTAGTAATTAAACTAACTTCAGCAGTTGCTCCACATTTAGCAACATTTTGTAATGCATCTGCAGTGCTGTGTTCTAAATAAGAGCGCTTGAAACCATCCAAACTAATTACTAATAATGGTTTTTTGTTGAATCTGAAAAAACTTGGAAATCTCTGATGGAAGCGAAGTAACTGAATTTTAGACACCTCAAGAGAATGGCTTATTTTTTGAATAATTATATAGTGGTATTTTGTCTTTTTTTTAGATTAAACTACCAAAAATTTATGAAAGTTTAAATTGGTATTTTAAAATTATAAAATCTTTCTTAATTCAACAATATTAATATAAATGTAAATGTGTAATCAATTTGTATACTACTCTTAAAAACGCCTCAAATAATGAATTTATACTTGGCATTATCACATTTTATTGAGCAATCTTCATCTGACCACCGGTGACCACTTTCCTCAAAATTAAAATGATTTGGAGTTTACTCAAATCTAACTGATCTTAAATTTGTGAATCAAGATAAAATAATGCTTTTCTTAATTTATAAGCCATAGTTTGTTCAAATTTTCATCTGAATATTTTGCATCCGATATGCAATATTTGTACGTCTTAATTCTGTATTTTTAGAAATTTGATTATATTCATACAAGTATTGTAAAAAGTATAATATAAATAAAGAGGCATATTAAGCTATGCAAATTTTATTAATCATAAAATTTGTATAGTTTAGTATTCACTTTGAACCATCTAAAATAAGACTTTTTACACATGACTATTTTACAGTATTCCATCGTGTACAAAATTGAGTGTATAAAACAACAAGTGCTGTGGCTATAACACAACACAACTCATTTGGGAATATTTGCTATACTTCTTAAGCTTTTTCAATTTTATATATTGGTGGCTACTTAAGTAGAAATTAACAAGCAAGTTAAATGATTACTTTTGAATCGTTTGCTCTTGATAGCAAATTTGAAAAAACAATAAATCCAATTAGTATAATAATTATGCAAAAAGTAAAAGGAATCAGAAAGTGCACTGAAACACTCGTATAATACTTTTTATGAAAATATTTCTTCAGTGAATACTGCACTACCATTTCTGAAACGATTTTATTATTTTATAATGCATTAATTTATTAAGTAATTAGTAGGGAAATGATTTATGGATAAGAATTGAAGTTGCTAATTATGCATATTACATAGCATAAGTTATTAATACTCATTTGACATAATTATTCACAGAGAATTTAAGCTCTTCAGCCCTTCAATTCGTTTACTTACTTTTTTATAAATAAGAAATTTAAATTTTGTCAAGTGTGATCAAAGACAGTAACAAGCAATAATATCAGTATTAGAAGAAAAAATTGAAATGTAAAATAAGTAATCGTAATTTACAAGTATTATTCACAAGATATTATTCTACATCGGTAAGAAGTATTATTATTCTATACTCATAACATATCAACTATTATTCTATACCCATAACATATTCAAGTATTATTCTATATCGATAAGAAGTATTATTATTCTATACCCATAACATATTGATCTCACAAGTATTATTCTTCATCAACATTGATCGTAAAAAAATAGAAATAACCACGAAATAAGATAATAAATAAATAATGTGGCTGATTTAATTAAATAAACAAAAAATAGACTGCAGGCATTTGATCGATGACTGAGTATGTAATGTTGCCGTTTGCAAAAGCTCTGATATTTATTTATTCAATTAAAATTTTGCTACTTATAAATCGAGCACAGGTCATATAGTTCACAGATTACTCTAAAGTAAAAAAGCTGATGTGATGCTCCTGACGTGCTCAAGTATAGAAAACTAAAAGGAATTTTTTCGTTCAAAGAGCGCATAATTAACTGATGACTTGTAATGATTGATTTTGAGCTTAAAAATGTTTAAATCAGTTTCCAGGATTTAGTTTGATTGAGTCAATAAAGTCAGCTCTAAATAATCTGTAAATAAATGAAGCAAAAAGTATGCAAGAAGTGAACTAGTACTGGATAATAAATGAATTTAATTATCAAATATTTTTAGAAATTGAATAAGTGCAGAAAATGAAATTATTACAGGATTATTCTGCTAATACGAGTAATTGAAATTGCAAGAGACAGTGGAAGCTAAAATACACGTCAATCAACTGATTATACTTTTTGTCGTAAATACATACCACGCCGTCAATGCGAAAAATCACAAATTATGTAAAAACGCTATTCATTACGTTTCATGCGTACACATTCACACACTTAGTCACGCTTATTTTGTAAATAGCTTAATGTAAAAAGTAAAGAAACTAATAGCTACTACTCAAATTGCTTCAAAAAAAAATTGCCCACGCAAATTTCTTACTTTGTTTTAGTTACTTTATTACTGCCATAATTACTTACATTACTTTTTGTATTACTTTACTACTATATATTACTTTACTACTATTATATATAATAGAGCGAAACCTCTACACTTACTCCAGCAGGCAAAACAACGATTATTATCAACCTCTAACAAACGAGGTTACCCCGCGCGCAAGTCTTCTAAAGGCTTTATAAAAGAATCAAAACTTAGCGAATAGTTGTAATAACACCCAAAAGAATTCCAAATTTATTTATATTATTATGTTTTCAAGTTTATCTTTTTTCTCACTATCGACTATGCAAACATACAAATGTGTGTTAAAAGCAAAAATATTTGATTACATATTTATTTACATGCACAACACACAAACACTATTCTATTCACACAGGTATAGTATTTTTTCAGATTTGGCAAATGCAATAACAATTTATATTCTGCAATTTATTCAATCTAATTTAGTCTGCAAGATCTGAAATATTCTGTGATTTTGAGCAGTACAAACGAAGCATTGATAAAACTGCCCGATTTACAGTTCAAACAATTCTCACCTGCAATATATGTATCAATCTACGATTCAAAATATTTACGTTCAGAATATTTACGATTCAGAATATTTACGATTCAAAATATCTACGATTCAGATTATTTACGATTCAGAATTTATCTTCTCACTACATTAAATAGAGTGGAAAAAAAATTCTGAATCGTAATAGGTTTGAAAAGCAAATTCCTCAGATAATCTCTGAAATGAAAAATCATTTGAAGAAATTTGCAATGAATCTCTGCTGATTTTACGAAAAAAATGCATAAATCATTCTACTTGCTTTGCTTCACTGCATTTCATGATGATGACGTTCGTCAGTCAGCTATATATCACTTATTTCTGTCAAGTTATTACTTCCATTACGCCTAATTCACCCGTTAAAATTCAAAATTCAGTTTAGATTCAATCCTTTAGTATGACAATCATCAATGCATTTTTGTTAAATGGTAAAGAAAGAAAACTGATTAGTAATTTGGTATCAAGGTTGTATTTCATTATACTTTATTTTTATTTTTATTCTTTTTTATTAATTTTACTAATAGAACAAAATTTTTCTTTTTATTTATAAACTATTTTTTATTCTCACTTTCACTTTTTTAATATTTGACTTCCAAAAAGTATTTGCAAGAATGCATTTTGATTGATCTTTCACATTTTATTACTATTATTTTTAGCAGTAATTACTCTAATAGAAGTCCACTATATAGTAAGTGTGCGAGGATATCAGATTCTTCACTACAAATTTAGTTTTTTGTTTTACATGGGGGAAAATACTTAAATATAAATTTCATGACTTATACATGAAGTTTAAAAAACCAACCAGTCTCGTTCGCACAAATAACAATTACAACGAAAATTGACGTAAATTTTAGTGAAATAAGAAATATGACGTTAATGGAAGAGAGAATGCGTTTTAAATATTACTTAAAACTATTCAAATACAAATGTGGTTGCTTTTTGCATTTTATTTACGTGTCTTGAAAGTTGCTCTCATTTATTATTAATGTAACAGAGAAGGTCGAGCAACAAGACAGGTTTGACCTCACTTTAGTGAACACAATTTCGTTTGTAACTCAGTAATAGATTATTTTTGAACATTTCTTTCAGTTATTTTTTCTTAAAAATTAAAATGATTTATTCATTTCGTTTTCTATTTCTGTCACTTTCTAACACTTTTTTACAAAAACTTATGCATTCTTTTTTTGTTGAAACGATAAGACATTTTACAGTACTTTTAGTATACAGTCCCTCATTACAGTTGTATCACTGTTAATCAGTCGAACGAAGGACTGTATACAAAAATTTTGGTACTTTCTGCTCTTTTCAATAGACTTTTTAGTTTACTGTCATCAATTATTATGTTGTAGTATTTTTAGACTAGTAATAATGCATTTTATTCATTGCATTAAACTGAATAATTCAAAGATTGAAGAGTGAAGATTGAATGGTATCGAAAAAATGATATTTGGTCAAAAATCTTTATTATTTGCATAAATCTTTTAAGATTATTTAAATAATCGGCATACGTTATTTTCATAAATAATATTATGATATTTACAAAAGTAGTATAAAATAAATTTTTATACTAAAAATTAAAAAAAATTTAGCATAAAAAGATTTTTAGTACAAAAAATTGAAACGTTTCAAGTTCGATTTTTGAGAAAATAGAATTATTAATTAATTCGATAATATGTGATCTAATCATTTAACACAATGCCATATTTGTATTTGCATAGATAATTTTGCTGTATTTACCCTTTGAACCCATCTTCATAAATATTGCTAACTTACTGCAAATATTACAATACAATAATTGATATTACATTACAAAATCAAGAACTGCACTGAAAATGAAATTAACAATTGATAAAAGTTATACGCTACGCAAGAAAATGACAACGATATGCGCAACGTAAATGTGCGTAAAGAAGATGGAAAATGGTCACTTCGATGCAAAAATCAATGGATGACTTCATTCTTCAAACTAAAATTAATAAATCAATATTTTTTGCTAAAGGATGCCAGAAAAGTAATGAGAAACGGAAAAATGAAAAAAGTGAAAAAAGATGTTAGTTTTGGAGAAGAATCGAGAAATTGAATGAGACGAAAAGAACATTTGCGATTGTGATATGAATAGAATTGTTTTTCATTTGCGTGAGGTCAGACCCGTAAATGACGCATTGCTAATTTGTAATTTAATATTAGCATTTCGTCGAATTAAACTTTAATTCTTTACTTGTATATAAAATAAGTTTTAAATTTTATGCCAAAATCTTGTTTATTTACTGATTAATGAATGAGTTATCAGATTCATAATTTAAAAAATCAATAGCTTGAGAGGAAATAAAGGCTAACAAGACTTCAGAGGGCATATTTTTCTTGCTTAATGTAGTCTAAACACGAACATTCATTCTGAAATCAACTTTAATTGCAGATTTTTATAGGAAGTGGAAATTTTGATGCTAAATGCAAATATAACATCAAAATGACGTACGTGGTTTTTATCTAACTTTACGTTAGCTGACTGTGGCATGGTGCAAAATTACTGTGAATGATAATTTATTGCAACTAATAATTGATTAATGCAATAATGACAATCGGAAATACACGGATAATAGTACGTACCACTTACATTTGTTTGATTGTCAGCAAGTTAAAATAATAATTACCAATACTCATCGAAATTAGGTACTGCTATTTTCTTACCCACAATGATTTCATTAATAAATTATTTAATATGCAAAATTTATTGAAAGAATAACGTGATATTAAGATTAAAAACTACTGTTAATTAGCCTACTAAAATTAATAACCTACAAACTAAGACAAGAGCCTTAATGATTTTACAGCGAGTCGGCCATGAAAGTTTGTTATATTCACCATATTGCAATATTGCAATAATAATGGGATAAATATTATCGTGACTTCAGCAAAATCATGATAAAATTTATCTCATCACTATCTAATAATCACTGCTAAAAGAATATAATTAATTATCAGAATTAAACTAAATAAGATTAATGCAATATAAAATTAAATTTCATACCTATATTTTGAATTTTGAACGATTTTTTAAGTTCAAAAGAAATTAAATTTTATTTAAACAACCTAAAAAACCAAATCTTTACATTGTTCACTTAATGTTTGTCTAGTTCAAAGAGTTAAATAATTGTTATTCAGAATAAAATCATTTTTATTACAAAATTGTAAATCATACTTTGAAATGGACTTTCAAATTATTTTTTATAGCATGAAAGTACAAGAATATAACTGAAAAATTATTAAAAAATACAGGAAAAAACAATTTAATGACTCATAAGATTCAATTAATTGAATCTTCTGAGAGCTTGTTCACAATCAAGGAATCATTCTTATATGCATTTCATGTTTGCTTTCACGTATTACCTACCGTTTGCTTTTCTTTCGCTAAACGTTCTGTAAATTTCTTCAAGTATTTCTCGTAATCACGTCGAAACTTCCGTGAGGGCATATCTTTTGGCAATGATTTAGAAAATATAACATAATCTACGAGACATATATGCATGTATAGATATTGCAACACTGACTGAACTGAATGTAGTCGTTGATGACGGATTGCTTTTACAACCTGTATATGAAGCTATCTGTACAAAATTTATTTTAACTTTACTTAGTTTTTTTTTGCTATCTCAATATTTATAAATAAAGTACGACTCGCGCAGCGTTTTAAATCTATGTTTGTAAGTTCATTGATGTGATTAAAAATTTCATAGCTTTTCACAACTTCAAATTTTTAATTTACTATATGATTTATTTCTTTTGTTTGCTGTGCTAGAAGTTTTTGAATACGCAATCAGTAAAGATTTTCTGGCAGAGTAAATTGAAATCCCTCGTTGAATTCAGATATAAACTTAAGTAATGAAGTAAGTAATATGTATATTTTGTGTTGAGACTTGATAGAATTTTTTAAATCGTTACTAATTATTTTCACTTAAAATGATTTATCGACCAACTAAATTTATCATTTATATATTGATAAATAAACTATTTCAGTTGATTTTTTAATTTCGCACTACTGAATATATCGTGAATTGCATTTATGATAGCGATGTAAACGTAAATAACGCAATGAAGCGAGAAAGATGACGTTGAGATGAGCCCTGAACAACTAACATCAGCTGGGGAAAGAGTTGCTTCCTCACTGAATTTATCCATGGCATAATCGACGGCACAAAGAGTTCCAGTACGACCAATGCCTGCGGAGCAATGTATCACAACTGGACCTCTGTCGTGTAACGCTTTGATCTTGAGGATGAGTGATATGAGCGGTGCTGAAGAACTCGGTGCAGATCGATCTGGCCAGCTGGACCATCGATAGTGATTTACGTGATGTGTTTCCCCCCTGCCAATTTTAAACTTATAGATTTTGATTTTCCGATAACTTCAAGCAATTTTACTTCAGAATTTTAATTTTCTAAAAGTTTTTGTCTTTTATGCTATAATTTTATTTGTAAGTAATTTTTTTTGCTGCCGTTTTTGCTACCAAAAACAATGCTAGAAAGAATCAATGATGCGATTGCAAAAAGGAAAGAAATTTCCATTCAATCACAACTGTGTCATCAGTGATAATACCAAAATGTAATCATTGGTTTCTGTTTGCAAATTATTTTTGAATTCTCTTTTCTTACTCGTATTTAACGCTCATCATTTGACATGTTATCATCTGAATTGCCTCTTCTTCTTTCAATTTTTTAACTGTAATTTCTCCGTATTGAACTTTTTCCCCCGTTGTTAAGGGATAGTATTCTGCACATTTTTGTTCTCCGTCTTCGATAAAATCGCATAGCATCACAATTGCTTGAACTTCTTCCTTACAGTTACGAAAACAGATTTGAAAGAATTTGAATTTGAAGAATTTGAAGAATTAAACATTATCCCTAGCAAGTAAAGAATTTGAAGTGATAAACATTATCACCAATGTCTTTTTTCCAGCACTTTTTTTGATTTTACAATGCAAGTATTCGTGAAAGAATATTATACAGTATCTGAATTCAGTTTTTAAACAGTTAAAAAGTATAGATTTTTTAGTCAGTTAAACTTTTTAAATTACTGAAACTAATGAATTAATTATTAAATGTTTGATTACGAGAAAAGTTTTTATGTCAAAATCTAATTAACTTTTCTTTTGAAAAAGATTTTAAAATATTTTGGGACAAAAATTGTTTAAAAAAACCTTAAAAATCATCCACCAGAAGTCCTCGATAGTTTCATCAAGTGGTCCTTGAGTACAAATGTACTTCCTGTTGGATGGTAATTGCACCCAGCTAGCATGTATGTAATCATTTGATTTCGTTCGATCTTTTAGGATTACACGTGTTTTATCAAGACACATTACATCGGTATACCTCAAGTAAAATTTCATTCACTATAATCACTACTCTTACTAGTTATTATTATTATTAAAATTCGTCATTATTATTATTTATTATTATTAATACTTTTATTATTATTATTATTATTATTATTATTATTGTTGCAAAACTAATTGTTTGCTATTAGAATATACATTGATGAAAACAGATTTCAGAAGTTTAATTTAGCGTTTCATAACTTCTATATTACTGAATTAAAAATATAATGAATATGCAGTATTACATGACTGATTACGCTTTTCATATCTCGATTTACTTTGATATACTCAGTTGCAGTAAATTAAGTAAGTTAAATAAAATTTTTGAAAATTGATTTTACTATTTCGAGTTCTTATATCTCATTGATTCTTATATGAATGAAATAAATAACCATGAAAACATGCATTAATTAGGCTCATTTATTATTTATAATTTTTTTGTATCTTTTAAGTTAGTTGACAGAAATTCATATTGCTGGAAGTTTCAAGTGAATTTTTGAACTAAAGTTAAAATAATGTGCTAAAATGGAACGCATAATTTTGTGCTCCAAATAATTTGTAGATAGTATTTACTTAGATCAATAAATCAAGTATTTCATGGTTTCTGTTTTTTTAAGGAAGGTATTAAAAATAAATAAATAAAATAAATTTTAAAAAATAGCAAAAAAATTAGTTTCTTGATTTACTGCGCATGAATAGATTTTGATATCAAATAATTAAGTATTAAAGTATTTATGTTTCGGTACTTTTTCAGTCTTACAATAATAAATAATTTTTGTTGTATTGTAAGGCTAATAAATTATTTTTGCTGCCATGAAAATAACAATTTTTTACTGCTTAATTTATATTATAATTTCTTATCTTTTTACATTTGTTGCAGTTTTTTAAAGTAATACAATTTTATAGCTTTAGAAAAGGGTTTTGCTGACGTTGTTTTATTTGAAGAAAGATCATAACTTATGAAAAATTTTTTCCATCAATAAAATTCAAAAGTAATAATTCAACGCAAAATTAATAGGATATTTGTTTCGTTTTCACCTATTTTTAGAAGGATTTTGGTTGAAAACATCTGTTGACATATTAGGTGGTATAAATTTGCGAACGGTTGCGAATTCTTTTAAAATAGGTCGTAAACCTTTTCTTGAAACTGTTTTCACCCATTCCAAAGCATTATCTGTGACTTTTTCAGCGCCAGGTACTGTCGAATCTTTGCATCCTTAAAAATGATAATCTTTCCATTATCATTGTTAGTTTTGAGCCAAGTTTAACTTAATTTAAGTAAATCAAGTCAAATAAAGTTATTAATTATGAAAGTGATAATATTATTTACTGATTCACAATTCTAGTTCAATATTTAACGTCATATATTTATATAACCGAAACAAGTATTTACATTTGTAATAAATGATTACGAATTTGACCTGATTCAAGATCCAGCTCAATATCTTTTAGAGGTTCATCCCTAATATAAGTTTTTTGTCGTCTTGCTGATGCTGTTTTTGGAACATGACGTCTGCTAGGTTTTTCTCTCGATGTCTCCAATAATTAACAATATACATGAATTCTTGTTATAAATAAAAGCTGTTAATCTTAAAGTCGATAAAAAGTATGTTAATGATACTTGATATAAGTAATTAGCAGTCACTAAGAAGCAAATATTCATACTATTTGGATAATATCCAAATCTAAGCCAATAAAAAAGTCATTATTTGGATTTCTTTCATTTACTTCAACCTTTATCAACTAATTTAAACAACAAAAAAGAGATTGACAGACGTAACTTACACTTTTTCCTTTCCGAGTCCTAAAATTTCTTGCGTTTTTAAAACAGATTAACTGTTTAGCTGACAGTACTTTTCATTTTAATTTTATTTGCTTAAATCATAAATTTATTAATACTTGAAGCCATGCTATTTTAGATTTATCTTCATTCTTTGCATGTATAAAAGATTCTTGCAAAAAGTGTATGAATGTGAAGGAAAAAATGTATTCTCACGTGTCTGATACTTCATAATTCTGTCATCATAAAATTATGAGCTAAACATTTTATGTAGTTTTGTAATTAAAATCTATTAGACATAAGTATATTAAAGTTAATTATATTATATGTTCTTTTTTAAGAATTTTAGAACACTTACTGAAGACGAAATTTTGTCTTTGAACGTTTCGTACTTGTCGATCCTTCAAATAATTTAAATTATTGTAGTAATTCAGTTACTACAAAATATAGGTGTGCACTTTATTATGAACTATGCAAAAGCTTTTGTATTCATATGACTGAATACAGATGGTCTTTTTATCACTTCAGACTTTCACTCATATTCTGCTATTTGAGTAATTTTAATTGGTTTAAATTATTTGCTAGGCATTTAAAATGTTTAAAAAATGACTATATTAAAAAAATACTGAAAAGATGCTAATAAAAATGGGATTAGCGTGAGTAGTTTATGCAAGAAATTTAATTTACCAAGAAATAACTTTTATATTTCAGTAGTATACCGATTTTGTAGTATATGAATTAGATCATTTTTCCAGCTCAAAATCAGTTTATCACTTTGTCTCTTTTACTTATATTTCTTTATTAAAACAGTTCTAATTGATTAAAAATATTTATTAAAATTTTTTAACAAAAACTAAGCAATGAAAATTAATCAACATTTGTACTGTTGTGTCATTTGTACTACAGCATAAATTACCATAATTAATTGTCAAACCGAATTGTTATTTAAACATGGCTGCTTGATCTAGTCTTACTATCAGATTTAGCTCAAGTATTGGATCACTTCTTTAGAATAATATTTGGTCACTTTTTATCACTTTGAGACTGTAGAAAGCCAAACTAACCATTTTCATCACAAGTGATTAAGGCCATATCTCCCTTCGATTGTTTCTTGCGTTCAGCCGCATGCTTTATAATTTAGCAAACATAAGCAAAGTAATAAGAATTAGAGCTTATTAGCAATTTGGAATACTTTGAAATTGGCTTATCTCAAAAATTTCAACAAGCAATATAATACCTAAATATTTTACAAAAAAGTTTGCTTGTGTTTAGACCGATACTATTTCAGTATTTCATTTGCAATTACTGTCACAGAGTTGATTCGGAATGAATTTGAAGGCAAGCTGCGTGATTTTGAAACAGTTAATTAGGTCAGAGGTACTGTCTTTTCACCTTTGACCCAACTTTCGTTGGAATTGTCATTTTCTACTAATTTAAGGATAGTTGCAATTACTTTGTTTCTTTTGAGAAGTGATTTAAGTCATAATGAAATGTAACGAGATAAATTCATGAATAACAGCAAACAATTTAATTCTTTTAAATATTAATAGTGTTCTTACGCTTTTATACTACTAATTTTCTTAAAATATAAAATATTTATGACTTTGTAAATATCCATAAATAAACAATAAGAATTAAGCCATTCAAATGTTAACAAATCATAGCTGTAATAACTATTCTACCAGTAAAATTCTTCAAAAACGTTTCAAATAAAGTACCATTGATAATTTAAATTGAAAAATTTGATATGAATATGCTCGTCTGCGAATATTATTTATATTATTATTATTATTAATTTTACTGGAAGTTATTTATAGAAATGAGAAAAATATCAAATTTTTACTCGATATTTTAGTCTTCTAGCCATTGTTGTTCAAAATCAGAATCTAAAAAGTATAATATTTCTTACTTCGTTTCGAATATGTTCAGGTAATAATTTAACTTTTGACTATTCAAAGTTTTGCTATAAAAACTTTTTTATCACATTTTTGGATCTGCAAGGAATTATGCTGGCAATTGCTAATGTAAATAATCAACAACACTGCAGTATTCATTTTCCATCCATAGTATTACCGACCCTGAAATATACTGAAGACCGTACGATAAATTACCAGCTGTAAACAATGTATAAACGAAGTGTTCAAACTAATTTATACAGTTAGAAAATTAGTGATTTGCATAAAGATATTATAGCATGATAATTTTAATAAATATTTCAATTTTAAATTAATTAAAGTTCATGTTGGCTTTTTTTTATTTTACAAAAATACTTTGTAATATTTCTTGTTTAGTATTTTGATTATACCTTTTGGATTGATATCACTAATATATCGAGAGCTTAAAATAACTGAAGTAACTCAAGTACTGAAAAAATTAGTCGAGAAAATTAAGAAGCACTCTAATTCATACTGTCAACACCATATCGAAAGCTTACGTGATCCTGAATATTAAAAAACTAATAAAATATTCTCATAATAACACAATTCAGATCATAAGCTGATGAGTTTATGTTCTTTAAGTATTATGAATGTAAATCCGTTCAATTAAACAGAAAATCCTTTTAAAAAAAACTACTTTTAACTGTGTGTAAAAACTTGAAGTTAATATAAAATAAAAACGTTTTTCTACTGCATATTATTTCGTGTAGTTACTTTTGACATATCACTGAGATCAGATTTTCACGTTGATCTATAACAAGCTAATCTACCTTCTCAAAATTGCTATTATTATTTTTGATTAATTTCTTAAGTGTTCTATCTATTCTTTTAATACTAAAAACTGAAAATCCTACACTAACGAGAGCTTTAACATTATATACTTTACTTTACTCAAAGCTGAAATTAAAATTCTAGAAAGTATATATGGTCAAATTCTTGAAGATCTCAGAATATTGAGTAATAATTACTGGAAAAGTAATAATTACTAGAAAATTCATTCAGGCTTAAATGGCTAATATTGTAAACAATCTTTATTTTTTCATACAAATGCAAAGAGAAAAACAAAATTAATTAGAAATATCTCCAAAAACACATAACACAATCCATTAGTTTTATGATAATTATTCATGTTTTTTCTTTACTCAAAGCTGAAATTTAAATTTTAGAATATATATAATGTTAAATTTTTGGGGATCTCAGGATATTTTGATTCTTTACAACTTTATCGAACACGTTAATCACGCACGTGTTACAGCTCTTTATACAGTCTATATAATTATTTTACACAGTTCAACAACTATTACAAAAGAAAACTACTCATAATTACATATACAAATTTCAAGAAAGATTATACATCGATATATGTGACGATAACGATCAAGTGAACAGTACTTTGTTATTATTATGTAGAACTTGTTATTAAGTAAACTTGTTATTATGTAAACTAATTTAGTAGTACAACTTGTTGTGCTGTTTTATTAGTTAGCAGAGATACTATAACTTAATTATCTCATAATTTTCTAATTGAGTGAATGAGGAAAAAATTGTTCAAAGTGTATTTTGGAATGTCAAAATGCAGATATTCCCATGCATGTAATGTACTCTTTTAAAATGAACCGAAATCATTTACTTACTTTTACTTTAAACAAAGCATCTTCCAACCATTTTACAATTCTTAAATTTCTCGAGCATTTTGCGATTATACTTTTTTTTAAATTCTCATTTTCAATGTTAATTATGTCATTATTGCAGTAATTAACAACACCATTATCATTATTATCACTTTAATCATTATTAGCATCATCATAATTGTTACTTTAATTTGTATTCTTGTCATGAGGTCAGCAAGTCAATGAGGCAAAAATAAAACTGAATCAATTCAAGAAGTTAAAATAATATCTAAATACATAATTCACTCAGAATATCAAAAAAAAACAAAACCTGGATAGATATTCCTAGAAATTCTTTTTGCTTTTGTGATGCAAAATATTTTCGCTCAGCAAACTGAACGTAAATCTTGATATTACTCATTTCCAAATTGTATTTAATGAATTAATAAATGAATGTTTGTTTACACATACAAAAATTAAAATAATTTTATGAATACTGTTGGCAGTATCGTTCACCAAGATTTGCAGCACCAATCCATTTTTTAAAATTACGCAAATGTTTAGACGTTCGTCGTCTAGAAAATGAATCTTCTAAGTTTGAGCTTCCACGTATTGGCTCATTTGAAGAAATAAAATGTACACGAAAAAGTTCAATTTTATCTAGTGAAAAGAGCGTTTGAGCATCTACTGAATAATCCATCAAACGAGTCAGTGCTGAATAGTCTCGTTCACCAATATGAACCGTAAACTGAAATTTCAAAAAGAATCTGTCATAATCTGTTTGTTAATGTTTTGATTCTAGGTCAGTATTATTTGATTTTATTTTCTTCAATAAATCAACCATTTGTTGTAATAACAAAAATGATTCAGAACTGAGTATTAGCAGTAAATGATTCAGAATTGAGTATTAGTAGTACGATTGATTATTTGATTCAAGCAATTCATTCAAAATAAAAGTATATTAATTAAATAAAATTGTTTTGAATCACTTTTTGGTACTGAATTTCATGTAAAAATAGCTCTAAAATAATAATTCTAATATAGCACTTAAATTGTTAACTTTCTCAAACCTCTGTAACATTAGGAAAAAGTGTATTTTGGCAGTTGGATGGAATGCACTGTACGTGAACTGAGTCTTCTGCCATTTGACCATCTAAAGTTTTCAAGTAACACTGAAAGGAATGCCACCGATTGAAATCCATGGTTGATAAACCAGCTGTGATTAATTCAACGATTCCCATATCAAGCTGAAATTTCTATACTAAATAAAAAAATAATGCTATTGCAGGTTTATAAAAATTTAAAATACTTTTTTTCCAGCGTGTTCAAATAAAAATAATACGCAAGAAAACTAAAACTTCTGATGAACTGATCAATTACAATTTATGCATATTTCTAGAAAAACAATTCATAAATACGTTTGCATACTTACACCAATTTTTTCATAAATAAAAATTTGCATTACCTTTACAAGTTCATTAAATATTATCTCAATACGTATATTTTTTTTCAACAAAGAAAGAAAATACTTTTAAGATAATAAATTTCATAATTTGCAATTTTGATATTGTAGAAAATTTGCATAATAACATTATAAGTCTTTTTTGTTTTCAAATTGAACAAAATAAACTGAAACAAATTTGCATAACATACCGAGACATTTCTAATAGATGGCGCCATTAGTTTAATAACTTGAAATAATTTGCTAATATCTTTTGTTGTCCATCTATCGTGAATAATGAACATAGCACTATGAACATCCAAATTTAATAATATTTGCGCCTTTGGATGTCGATAAAAACTGCCTCAAAAAATTAAAATATATTAATAATTCTGAAAATTCATGAATCCTCAAAAGCTAATTGTTTTTGATAGAAAATTTGAAAAGAATTAATAATAATGCCATATTTTTCAACACTCGAATTTGACAAACTACAAGAATTCTTAAAATTTAAAATGTATTATTTATTACTTTTTTAATCTAATTTAGATAGTTCATTTGATTGCTTTCTGTATTTGCTATCAAAACGAAATTTTGGCGCTTAAAAGCAAAGCGGTTTTTATCTTTTTAAGTTGTTGTTTACATATTATTTTTACTTAAATTATTGATAAACTAACTGATAAAGCTTTTAAGCAAAAACGCAATGCAATTACTCAAGTAATTAATTCATTTTTGATATAACTGAAAGTTATCATTTAAAAAA